TGCATGAATTAAAGCACTGTCTAATTGAACATCCTTTCGAAAGTAGTGAAAATCAGAAATTAAGATTCTCTTCGTTTATAATACTTACTGTCCACTGAGTTTTAACGTTTTCGATTAACATATCTGAAACAGCCAGATCAAACTTGTTCCATGCCATGGCTAATTTGAATTTTTGTACATGAGCATCAGATATTTCATGCTTGGGCATGCTTGTTGCTAAATAGAAAATCATTTAAAAATCGATATAGATTATGTAAATACCTCGGAATAATGCTTGAAGTATGGCATCACTCAATTTGAATTCGGGATCGTCAGGACATAGTAAAATGGTATTGATTAAGAAGAAACCTTTTTCTGATCTTATCATGTCACGAAAACACTTTTCATTACTTTCAGTGATGATTTCCCTACGAGCTTCTTCTATTACTCGTTCTCTAAAAAATAAGTTAAATTTTTTCAAAAGAAAATATAAATATTACAGATCAGCATTGTTGTCCCCTGGTGGAACATATGTTTTCTGATTGCCATATAATGCTTTGTATACTTGTGGAATGAAATTAGCCGCTCTGCCAGTACCCTACATAAAAGTGAAAACGAAGTATGTTTTTCTACTTAATTTTATTTTAAATATATATATATACTTCAATGACAACGACGGGCGTTTCGTGCATTACTGCTTCAACTACTGTTAGAAGAGATGAAGGACCACCTTCGATTAATATTTGAATAATGGGAATCTTATAATCTGTAGAGGAACAGAACTTAATAACTAGACAAAGAAGAGTATCAATTACTTTGTCTATAATGAGAGCTACAACGAGCTTCCTGTTCAATTTCTGCACGCAACTGAATAGTGAGGTCGGCTCGAACTGGATATCCATATTGTTCCCAGGTTTCATCATTTTCACCACATTTATCGTCAAGCAGAATAAAATGAGTATGATTTGGATCAAGAGGACATGATGATGGTTTCTTTTGTGGTACACAATTACGATACAATTTTTCACGATCGGCTACTGTGCTAAACGTTGATGTTGGCATTATACCCTAGATGATATTCTCATTTTTCTGGAGGCCCGTGAAAATTATACACATACTCCTACACTGCTCAGTTTTACAGGTCGTTGTTGAATGAGTTGTCTATAATCTATTTTTGAATTATAAAAGCGAATGTTTGCCAGAATAACATGTTAGCTTTCTCTTACTCGTCGCATAATACCAACTTGCAATCCCAATAACGGGAACTTGAACAAGACCTCTATCCACAGTACTAGTCTTGTATGTCCATTTTTCGAATGCATCACCCACATCCTTCATAACTCCAGCATGCGTTCCTCCAGTGAACACCCAAGCATCTATTCAAAGATAGGCATAAACTTAATATCAATATCGACTCTTACCAGTAGTGACAGCAGCTGAGACAAG